CAAGCAATGGATCTATCAGTACATGGATTAAAAAATTTGCAAGTAATAAGCGGCTGGGAATGGCCCGGCCGGTGAAAAGCGCAACCAGCTACACGGCGACCTTCGGCGTCGGCGTCGGTCAAGCTTTCACCCCTTGCCCGTTCTTGATGTTTCACGGCGCCGCCGAGTTCATACGATAACATGAGCTCCACATTTCGATCCATCAATGATGCATTTTATTATCAGTTCTTGAAGCTGCGCTCTGTAGTGCGGTGGATGCATCTTGCTATCGTCGCATAATGATGCATTTATGCCTTGCTTGCGAGGGGGCTGCGTCCAGACCCTCCGCAGCAGCGCTTATGCTGGAATAATATAATTCTATCACTTGTTGGGAATCACGGACTGCTGGCAGGGCAATCCTCCGCATCAGTACAGTACACCAAGAGGTTGCGCCGCCTCTCCTGCAGCAGCTCCTCCGCTCGCGCCTGCAGACCGCCTTCCAGCTCCTCCTTTGCTACGAGCGACCCCTAACCGCGCCTAAATTAGCCACTGTATGCGGCCTGGGGCATCGTAATGGCAGCCTTAGGTGGAAAGGAGTCGATGCTCATATCCAGGGAGGAAGAGGAGAAATGGATCATGAGATGGCGAACGCAAATTCAAGGGTAGTGTACATGGTGGGTAAACGATTGACTCTCTTGGTGCTGCTGCCTCTCTCCCTACATATATGTGCATGTTAACCCTCTTCATAGCCATCGGTATAAGACACCTTGGTTTGTGCGATACTTAAATTTTGGGAACCTTGCTTCGTGCGTATATAACACCGTGTTTTAAGCATGCGGATCGTTGGCGTACATACAATGTGTACGTATGTGCGTCTGTTTAGTTTGTTGGTAAGGCTTTGTTTGGAATCTTCTCTCGTTCCCTGTCTGTGTGTCCGTGTGTGTGTCCGTGTGTGTGTGTGTGTGTGTGTGTGTGTGTGTGTGTGTGTGTGTGTGTGCATCAAGGGCTACCTCGATGTGCGCGCTTGCACGTGTCTTTACGAAAGTTTGATGTCGTTCTCACACACAACACAGCTTTACTTGAAACCAACTGGTTAAGAGAGCAGCACCCAGCAGCAACAGCCACAGCATTTCGCAGCGTGTGACGGCACGGCGCGATATGTCACTCCTGTGCTGCGCTACCCTGCGGCTGCGGCTGTGAGAAGGTATAGTGACGACGACGGCTGATGCGAAGGCTGTCTGCAGACACTTAGGGCAGCAGAAACTCAATCAGGCCACGGCTGTTAGGGCCACGAGCACAATCCACACTGCAATACTGATATGACGGACCCTGTATGTGTGTGATTATGGTGGCGACGGCGGCAGTTTGGTGATGGGCTGTTGGTGGCCATTGTGGACGGGGGTATCCCCCGCGGGGGAGGACGGGGAGGTGGCGTACGGGACACCCCAACCGGGATCGCGGCGGTAGAGAGGGCAACCTACTGTCTATTTCAATTTCAATCTACAATCCCAGTACGTTTGATACGTGTTTTACCTCATGTTTTGTCCCCTTTCTTGCCTGTGTGTTTCATCTTTATCTTCCTGTCATGCAGCTGTCGCTCCCATCAGATGTGGGGGCGGTTGTTCTTGTTTTAAAAAAACTTTCATTCTCAGACATGCACGTGATATACAACGTGGACATGCACATACATTTGTGTGTGTGAGAGTGGTGTGTGATTTTCCGCACAACTTATGCTGTCGTGGCTCTACTAGGAGTTCAGTCGGGGTAGGGGATAGTCGGTGAGGCTTAGTAAACACCGAAGGCAACGGGGATTAGATCTCGACTACTGGAGGTATGCTGTTGCAGCTTTGGGGGTCGTCGAGCGAGGAAATACATACATACATACATATACACATACATACATATGGATGCATAGGTGACGAGGCATAATAAAAGAAGAGGGAGAGGCAGTAGCGCAGTTCCGTCCTTATTATTAGTATTACATGCAATTTGCATTTATGAATGAATCCCGTTGTGGGAATTCTAGAAGGCGTGCTGGGTGATGTTAAAACTGCAATGGAAGCGTGTGAGGTGTGTTTTGTTGGGTTGTGTTAGGATGATGGGTGACGGGTGGTGGGGAAGGGAGTGAAAGGCACTTGAGCGTGTTGCTAGGATAAGCTCTATTTGGGCTTGGATATGTAAATGCACGTAACGGGTTTACGTCGTGAAATGTGCCGTTATATTTGTCAGTTGTTGACAGTTTCTTAGTCTGGACACAGCGACAATCATGTGTATGGTTGCATGGTCGTGGGGGTGTGTACCCCGTACTTGCAAACCGCCCAATACGAGCCGAGGGCTCAAGGACAATCATGTAACGGAAAAGGGGGAGTGTCCGCACACAGATGTGTGGGTTGGGGACCTCTTGGGGTTGCAACGCATCGGCGCCATGTAACGCATTGAAGGTTAAATTCAAATTTCTCTTCAGATTGATAAGGCGGATAAAAAAACTATATAAAAATTAAGTCTTAGTACGTTCTAAGTACTATCGGGAGTGGCGAGGGCATATTGGGTGGCAGACCGAGCAGGTAGGTTGTTTGACCTGATGATAGCTAGCATGCATCTCCGCGAAAGTGATAAGCAGTTTCCTCCACCTCCACCTCCGCCTCATCAGAGCATCACTCCAGGGCACCTTGGGCGCAGCTCAGAGCGCCGTATGGTTGCGCATATGTGAGGGGGAATGAGGTCAAGTCTTTGTCCGTACAGCTGTGTGCGTGAAAAACTCCGCCCACAGTGAGCTTGTGGGGGGTTTGTTGGAGCCCAGCGACACCATTACTGCGTTTCCGACGTTAGGCGGTAAAAGCTGTCGAGCCCAGATAAAGACATGTGCATTTCGCCGACAGTACTACTAGCAGTTAGTACGGCAGTTAGAGAGCCAACGGACCTGCGACGTCGACGGATGCGGAGCAGCCAATGCCAGCGCTGGCAGCTGTAAACGGCCGGAGATATGTTTAAAGTAGACAGAGTTGTGGATCTTCAAGAGTCTGGAATCCACTGTAACAAACACACAGAAACACACACATACACACACACGGACGAGGGGGAGGGGACTGTGGCCCCGCACGTCCCTCTCCTCCCGCTAGGGGGAGAGTACTTCGGCGGTAATTCCTGTTGAGGTATACGGTTAGGTGCCCCTGGCCAGCGTCAGGCATGGATCGATATGTAACATACAGACACACATACAGACGCAAAATCGTGATATCATTCATTCACGTCATGTACTGCGCTAAAACCGTTTTTGCGAGAAATGGTGGGCTGTCCGTCAGCGTCGCTTAAGCAATTCTCTCTGCTATCCAACTGTCCACGGTGATCAACGCACAACGCCGGCATCATTGCGGGATTTGTGATGCGCCACGCGCCCAGTAGGCGGCTTCGGCGCCGGACGGCGTCATACCTAGCCCGGAACGGTCCTATTGCGGCAAAGCTTTCAGAAGCGAAAAGCTAAAAAATCTGAATCTGAATAAAAATGATCCTTCTACTGATTTGATAAGATAACCAAGAGCCGCAGCTGCAATTCCATAACCTTCCCCCCCCAAAAAGATAACTTTAATATAGGCGAAGACGCTAGTAGCATCATTCTCATGGGCTGAGTTCCTCCCCAACGACAATGTAAGTGATCAGCGGGGGGGGGGCGGCACAGTAATTCCTACCTGGTGTAGAATGTGGAGAAGCGGAGCATCACCCGAGCAGGGTTCGACACTGACCTTCCTGAAACTTGCGGGATCCCCCGTACCTCCCAAATTTTCCTTACGGAGGGGCCCCCGTACCAGGCTCCTGTACTGGCCGAAAACCTTACGGGGCCCCCCGTAACCCCGCAAAACCTTTACGGGGACACTGTCCTTGGCTGAAACGCTGTGGAAAGTGACGCTTTGCATTTTTTTGCCCTGTAAATAGTTATTTTCGTTATTTTCCCGTGAACCATTACACACGGGGACACGGCACACTCAGCGAAAGCCAAGCGCCTTGGCCGCCGCGGCCGCCCATCCCTTCTGCTCCTCTTTCTCGTCCTCCTCCTCATCTCATCCACGCACGACTCATCGGTATCTCGTTCTACGTCGGTCTCGTAGTCACTGTCACTAAAAGCCTCATCGTCACTAGCGGGGTATGTTGCTTGTACCAGTACTTCAATCTCTGGGTCAGTCGCAACCTCCTCATTATCATCCTCTCCGTATGGATTCAAATTAATTTTGCTAACGTCAGAAAACAACTTGTGAATAATGCCTGTATAACCCTTACGCGAGTAGATCTCAGCAGCCTGATCAATCAGTGGCTTCGCCCCGGTATCAGCAGCAGGTCCCAACATCCCCACACGAAGTAGTGAATCAAGTGTGTGGCCTTATCCTTTATATGGTCCGTCCTCTCCCCTACAGGGCCCCGTACGGCCTCTTATAAATCCTTAAAATCCTTACGGGAACCACCGTAACAGGCCTTCGGCCGGTCCGGGGGCGGCCCCGTACGGGGCGCTTCGCGCCCCCAAATCCTTACGGGAGCCACCGAAAAGTCCTACGGCCCTGACGGGGATACCGAAAAAAGGCCAAAAACTTACGGGCCCCGTACGGGGTGTCGAACACTGCCTCGGGTGACCCGAGGTGAACCCGGTAATCATGAGATCTGGGGCTTGCAAAGTTGAGGTGTTTCTAAAGTTGAGATCCGGTTATAAAAGTCATAATCTAGTAAGCCTTGCTTTATGGAGCCTATAATTGTGTGGGATTTCCGTAGTTCCCCCTTCCGTGGGGCCTGTGCTTTTGGCCGGATCGCCCGTGGGTCAGTGGGGTCAGGTAGGACAGAAAAGCCGCGTAAGCTTGCGAAGTTGTGTTGCCTCGTGAACCGACAAAGATATTGTTTTTGCGCACATAATACTTTATCCTCTAGCCAAGCTTTGGTCATACAGCAAGTAAAATTGTTTCAAGGCCACACAACAACTCGAGCCAGGGTCACTGTATCTAAGCGTTTGGTGAATACTTGCTCATAGGCATCTACACAGAATGAACATTGCAGCATTCAAGAGCACACCTCGCCTTCCTGCACTCGGGAAGCGCCGGTCCATTTGCTGCCGGGCAGGAACTGGCTTTGGCAAGGCTCAGGGCAGGAAAGATGCTTCAAAATCATCCGATTCAGGAAGCGGTATTTACACCGCCCCTCGAACTAAAAAACGGGTGAACCTGGCGGAGGAGCTCGGCAACATTAAAGAGGAGGTCGCGCCAGCTGAACGCGGCAACACAGATCCTGATCGCGATCTTACCAAGGGCAACTGGTTTGAGCTGGCGAAGCTCAGTGACTTTGCTGGCGACAAGAAGCGAAAGATTTGCGAATTGAAGGCAAGTTGGCAGTTCTTGTGCGCGGTTCAGTATACATTACCAAGGGAGGCTATTGTTTCTTGTCCACTGTTGGGTGGCAAAACGCCAAGCATCGAGGGATAACCTTTGCCTGCTTGCCGTGTCTGGAAGGTGTGAACACAGAAGTCCAAAGTGCTGGTGTTGGCTTGAGGGTACGCGATAGGAGCGCCAGAAGTCTGCAAAGAATGTTACTGAAGAAGGAAACGAACTCCTAATGTCCTTTGCTTGCGCGGTCCCTTTGCACAGCGGACAGTCGATTGCGCCACTTGTCCCAAGAGTTCACACCAACCCAAACCATCACGTAGTTGTAGGACGGCTGCTCTGGGAAACATGCTTGAGAGGCTCTCAGCCGTTCAGCGCACCGTTTAAAATCCCCTCTCGGTCATCCTCTTCGTCCGTTCTTAAACCACTCCGCTCCCTTGTAAAATCCCTAAGACCCTCATGGGACCCTAATCCGTGAACTCCTCCGCTCCGTTCCCCCTTCCCGTCCCGTACTTCCTTTCCCTTCCCCTTCCCTTCCCTCCTCTCCTTTCCGCCAACCCCCGGTCCACATCCCGACACGTGCAGGGGGTACCCCGCCACCGTGTGTTAGCGGCCCCTGCCTCTCTCTCTCTCTCTCTCCCTCCCCATCTCATTGCCTTACATATTATCGTCCGTACATGTCCGCATAGGGCAGCAAGAAGACTGTCGTACTTCATATGTTCAAGGACACGCTATACGCCATGGACGCCTTCTCCACCGCTTGTGAGTCAAACTCCCCTGCGCCCAATATCCCTCACTCACCAACACAGTTATCGACAGGATCACCACCTATCACACAACCGCAAGGATAGCGCCTCTCGCGCGCGTATCCTTTGGCCATGAACCCCCAATCGCTGGTCGTTCTTAGGGCGACCTCTCCTCTAAAGTTGCTCTGCTGTGCAGCCGAGGGACATTTTAGTAGCTGTTTGTGATTGTTGCGGCTGCTTGTTATGGGGCTCACCCCTGCCGGGCATCGTTTCGGGCCTTATCCTGTCCTATAGGTGTAAGACTGTTATGCCGGGGGAGGGGCCCCAGGGCAGGGCATCACTGCCCGGATGTAGAATCAACGACCCGGTGGGCCGAATCCACGCATTTAGGGGTCATCCGTTTGGTTGTAAACCTGAAAGAGAAAAAAATTAACATAAACCATAATCATTTAAAGCTTAAAAACCGTTTTGCAGATCAATACCCGCTGATTGACGCTAAGCTGGAGGACGGCCCCGAGGGACCCACCATCGAAACCCCCCTGGATGGCACCGTGTACGAACTCAAGACAGGTGCGTACGACATGCCGTACAGTAGTGGGATCCGGGACGAACCTTGTTTTTTCGGGGCCCGGCCGTGGGGGTTGCTGGGTGGACGAGTCCTGAAGTGTATGGCAACCCGGGTGTCCTAACCCCCCAACACCCCGAAAAACACATCTTCTTTTACCCGTCCCATCCCTTTCCTTCCCTTCAGTTTGTTCACTCTGTTCGACCTCATCATTTTCAGTGATCGCTAGCTGGTTTAGGTCTCCTGCTCTGGAAAATGCTCCCTCATGCGCTGCCGTATCCCTCCGAAACACCGACTCCACTGGGGCACGTTGGGACATGTGGTCGTGCACAGTGCCAGGCAGACAGCTGAAAACATCAAGCCCTAACCCACGTACATGAGCCCGTTGGATCATCTTACCCCCCGGCGCAAAAAAGAAGAGCCAACGAGTGAAACTCGCTGCGGCGGTAAACTCTTGACGTGGCGACATTTCCCCCATCTAGCATTCGTAAGGCATTTTATTTGCTGCTTGTACAGTCGTACATAATGTCCCGTACTTGGCGCCGTACTTGTCCCAAACAAAACAACGTCCCGCAGGCAAGGTACTCAAGTGGTGCCCCTCCGACGGGTCTCCGGTTCGAGGCTTCCTGCGCACGCTCAAGGCCAGCGTGACGCCGGTGCCGCTGCCCGTGTACCCCGTGGTGGTGCAGAGGGATGGCAGGGTTATGGTGCGGCTCAGCGTGTGAAGGGAGAGCCGGGGTTAGCGGAGAACGGGAAGGGGAGAGGAGAGGGGAGCTAGTGTGCGAGGGAGGGAGGGAGTGGATGCGGGCGAGCCGAGCGGAAGGAGCGAAGGGTATGGCGAAGAAATAGGCAAATTTCGGAACGGACGAGAGGTGGCCATTTTTCCGGCAGCCGAGAATACAAGTACGCAGACAGGAGGAAAGGATTTGTCTTGCGAGTATATGAGCTTTCCAAAAGCTTGGATACTGTAGTAGCCTACTGGTTGACGCGCAGTTGTGATTCTTCTTCGCAAATCATATTGGAGAATATTACGTTCCGGCTTTTGTTTGTGTGCGTTTTTGCCCGTTGCGAAATTGTCACATCGAGTCATGATGGTTTTGGTCGTTGGGAGTTGGTGTTTTTTGTCCTGACTCAGGACTCCTGAGAAGTTCTCAGGAAAGTGCCCCACTCACTGGCCACCGCAATACTAGGAAAGTAATTTTGTGTGGTGATCCCTTTGGCGGGATGCGCCGCATGGACCCTCCAGTAAGGGGGGCCCGTCAGTTTTGAGTGCTGAGGCAGTGAGGTACCGCAGTGGTTGCGGGGATGGCTTTTGTGCTGCTCCCCGTCAGGCCAAGGTTCGGGAGAGCGACCGGCAGCTTGTGAAGCGTGACCACGACGCTTTATGACCGTTTGCGGAGAGCGGAGTTGGGGGATGTGTACGGGGCGTAGAATACGTCATCTTTAGGCTTGCATCCAGGACTGTTTGCCAACGGACATGGGAAACACGACATGCTGGTGCAGTGCCCCCGATGCTGCTGCAAGTGATGCCGCGACATATAATTTTAAAGGCCTGGAGGATAGTCGCAATAAGGCGTTGAATTAGCTGGCACAGTCTCTTGCAGCAACAGCACATAATTCGAAGCCAGTAAAAGTCGACAGCTGCCAAGAGTTCTCACTCTATTTGCGGTCGGCTTTGCATGGCATAATATGATCATCATGTTCTGTTGTTGAATCTATGAACTGTATGTTTAGGTTACTTAGGGACGCAACGCTCGCTGCACTATAGTGCAAGCAGATAGTGAACGGACGCACTGTCACGGTGACCAATTTTTATTTACTGCAACAGTATAACACGTAGTCGTCTATGTCATGTGCAGCGCCCAACTAGCTGCGTCTAGAAGATGTCGTGCTTCAATCAGCTTGCACTCCCGCCGCGCTGTCGGGCTGGTCCCAGCCGCTGTGCGGCATGCGTGACACACCAAAAGACGACGACTCAATATGCCCTAATCATTTGCATCGGGCTACCACATCGCCTAACTCAGCATGCGGCGACTTGGAGCTTTCGTGCTGGCCATGCCCTTCCGACAGCACCTGGGAGCCCCAGTTTACGCTGCCATAGCCAACCCCGTAACCTGTACACTGTATTAAGATCAAACCACCATCAGCAGACGGCCGTTAGCACGGTCCGATGTACGGACATGAACCGGATGCCCTGCAGCATCGCTGTCCCAGCAGCGCCCCGTGGAGTGGCAGGGACTCTCCACTCCACAATATCTGCCTCTGGGGTCGCTAAATCCGCCTCAGATGGATACCCAGGTGATAACAGCGTTACAGGAAACAAAAGCATCCATGGCAGCAGCAATTATGCCACCCATCACACTACTGAGAGCGCCGCTGCGGCCACCTCTACAGCGGCCAGTGCTGTCACGTCGTCCCATCCCAACATAGCTGCTGCAGCCGTGGACGCCGCCAGCGCCAGCTACGGCTCCGATGGGGGCGCCCCAGCGGTGACGGCCGCTCCGGCAGCTGCTGTGACCGGCCCGCCGGCAGGGTCATGTACGGCCACCAGCACGACGTCGCTGCAAACCAGCGCTACCACCTGGGCTTCGTTGGTATCTTGGTTTCGGAGGCTGGTAGCGGAGCAGTACCTTCCGATGATGTTGCTGACGGCGCTGCTGGCAGCGGCCCTCCAGGTGGGGTCGCGAGGGTCGGCAATGCTGTACGGGAATGCGGGGTGAAGAGCGTGCGTGCATGTCGGGGGGCATGTAGGGGTGGTAATCGCGCGGTGGGTACGTGGCACAGCACAAGCACAGGCTCACGCATCCACACATACACACACAGCAATTCCATACACACACACACACACCTCACACCCCAAAGCAGGCGTAAACATTTCACGTTTGTTCTTTCCTTTGCGCTTCCCCCCGCCTCCTCCCCCGCCTCCTCCCCCGC